TTCTAAGCAATTTACATGCCTCAACTACTGTGATCACCCCAATAATCCTATGATGTTGGATATGGTGTGATTATTACTACTTTTTACAGGTAAGAAAACTGAGTCCTGTAATGGCTAGTAACTTTCTGCAAGTCACCAGGTATTGGGGGCAGACCTGAGATTCAAATCCTGCCTCCTAACACTGTGCCTGACACCTTGGGAAAAGCAGAGAAAGAGAGTGATGCAAGTCATCATTTTTAGTTGTATACAGTCCTTATTTATTCTGCATCCAGCAAAGTTGCTATTTTGTGCAATGGATTAGATCAAAATGTACCTTGCCATCAACTCACCATAGGAGTTAGGGTCTCAGAACAGTGCTAGTCAAGTGTGGTCTGTGGACTAGTAGAGCTTCAGAATCATATGTAGTTAGAATTACAAACTACCCAAACCCTACTCCAGAATTACAGTCTCTGGGTATTGATCCAAAAATCTGTGTATGCGCTTTTTAAAATAATTCTCCAGGTAATTTTTATATTAACCAAAGTCTGAGAAGCACTATTGTACAGTTTATGCTCCCAAAGGGTCACCTTGCAGATAATAAAAAGACAGCTAGGGTATGGAATCTGATTTAAAGGAGGGGTGTAGACATAAAATAAATCAGGCCATGAATTTTTTTTTAAATTTTTCAAATGGAAAAGAATTTGTATAAACCTAAGAAAGAAAGATAAATTGATTCAGGTTTATTTGATTCAGGATTAATGTGTCTCCCTGAGCCCCTAATGCCTTTTTTAAGATGTTAAAGCCAGAAGGTTGTTTATGTAGAGTAATTCATCAAAGAAATTCGTCGTCTTCCTGGAACTATTATGGAAAAGAAGACCGTTCTCACATTTGTTGTTGAGGGATCACATTCTGAGTAAGAAGAAATTCCATACATTGTGTATTCATTAGTGCCAGCAGGAAGCGATTCCAGACACAGGCCAGTGGGCCAGACAGGAGTCGCTTTACCATTTGGACACTGGGCCCCACAACAGTATTATGTTTTAAGAGAGGTTTGGTTTCTGCCAAACTTGACTCTTTGGGAAAGAGCAAAATGGGAAGAGCAGGAAGTGATGACACTGTTTTAAATATGAAAAAGAGAAAAATGTCAGCTAAAATTCTAAAGAGGATTAGACAACAAAAGGAAATTATTAGGAGGCAGAAGAAAATGGATAAAGAAATAATTTACAGAATACAGGAAGTTTTAATTGCTAGTCAAAAAATAGGAGTACTTTAGTAATTCATTCCATTTTAAAAATCAAATTTCTGAATTCTCAAAATATTGAAATAGAGAAATTCTGTTCTAATATTTGCTATTTTCTCCCCAAAGAAATCAGCAAACAATTTCAATAAATGCTTTCTTTTGTCCACAATATCATATGACATTCAAAACTAATGTAAAATGTAGTTGGTATTTATCCTCAAGTTTAAATTTTATCAAAAAGCATAAAAATAACTATACAACCTATTTGAGCAGAAACCCTTTGATTATATTTCCTAAAAGAAAAGAGATCCTATATAATAAAAGGCTAATATGCAGATTGACCGAACGGCAGAATGACCAGTTGCTATGACGTGCACTGACCACCAGGGGGCAGACGCTCAATGCAGGAGCTTCCCCCTGGTGGTCAGTGTGCTCCCACAGGGGGAGCACCACTCAGCCAGAAGCCGGGCTCATGGCTGGCGAGCACAGTAGCGGTGGCGGAAGCCTCTCCCACCTCTGCGGCAGCTCTAAGGATGTGTGACTGACGGCTCAGGGGAGCGGGTCTAAGCCATCAGTCAGACATCCCCCGAGGTCTCACAGACTGCGAGAGGGTGCAGGCTGGGGTGAGGGACCCCTTCCCCCCAGTGCAGGAATTTCATGCACCGGGCCTCTAGTTTAGTAATAAGGTCTCATAAAGGCATGGCTTTAAAATTTACTTACAGAAGAAATAAAATTTGTTTTAAAGTTTATTTAATGAAAGCTACAAGAATGTCTTGCACATTTTATGCATTATTGAATTTACAAAATCTAACAAAAATGTGGAAGGAAATATGCATTGTTGATATCAAATTAATGGTAATTTGAGCATTAGTTACATATTTCAGGTGTAGATTCCTAATCACTTTTTTGTTAAAGGCCATTGATGTCAGTGTCTTCATGCATTGCCTTGTGTTAGTCCTCATTCCTCCTCTCAGGAAACATTTATCACAGTGCTGTGCTCTGTGGAAGACACAGTGACATGTAAGAGTCAGCCACATGCTGAAGGTACTCGTAACATGGGAGTGCAAGGTGAACACCAGTTCCTCTTCCAGGGTCATGGGGCATGTGAGGGAAACGAGCTCTGGGAACAGAGGTGGAGGGGTTTTGCTTCAGAGGAGGACTCAGAGATCATTCCTAGAGGAGCTAGTGTTTAAGCAAGTATGGAGATATCTACGAAGAAGTGTGCGTAGAGGTCCGAGTACAGGAAGTTACAGCCAGGTTTATGCATTCTTTTGCAGTTTTCTCTTGAATTTGAAGTCAGAGCCAATCTTAGGAATCCTTAACTAGGAAACAATAACTGCTACTTGTTCTATTGGACAAATATCTAAATCTTATGTAATAAGTGCAAATGTGGTGGACAGGACCCTGGACTTCTCTCCTGGCTTGATCATTGGCCAGCTCTGAGACTCAGAAGGGACAGTTGTTCCTTCTGACCTCATTCTCATTAGCTGTAGAATTGAAAGAGTATTCTAGATCAATGCTTCTCAAATGATCTGTGGTGCAGTTAATTTTTTGTCTCAATCTGTCATTGACATCACTAGAAAAATGATCATGCACTTGGATGTCAGAAACATGAAATCGGTACGCAAGTTTGAAAACCCTCAACCTTGAGTTCTGTGCTCACTTCATCAAGGACAGGTAACAGTTCATGGGGTGGCAGGTTTTCAACCTCCACTCTGAGTAGAATGTGTAGGCTCTGGTTTTATTCCAATTCCAGAAGAGTAGTAGAAGACATATTTAGTCATATGCTCATATTGAACAGTAGATATAAAAGGAAAAAATGTTTCTTACTCTCAATGCCTGTTTTTTAATTTGTCCCATTATATTATTTGTATCTACATTAGTCTTGTACCTTCTCTCTTTTTTTTTTTTCAAGATGGGAATGGCATCATATTTTTTCAGAATAAGAATGTCAACTTTTAGTATATTATTAAAAAATAAACATTCTGTTAAAAAGTCAAGTAGATTACTTTTATAAGTACTATTTTAATTCAAATAGAAATGTATAAAGAAAGACGTGAAAATCATCCATCCTAGTACTTTGAGAACACTAGCATTTTGGTATGTGTCTTCCTGGGCATTTTACAAATATACACAAACATAGCAATACATATATTTTTAATGGGACTTTTTTTTACAAAAATTGAATTTTTACAAAAATACTGGCTTATAACCCCCATATGTTTTCCCCAAAATAACATGGACAGCTTTCCATGTCAATAAACATAGACCTCTGTCACTTTCTGATCTGTGTCCCATTATGTGACTCCTTCCCTCACATTTTAGTTTTGCTGTGATGAGAATCATTTTGTCAGTTATTATTCCAAAGCTTCCTCTTTTACCTGCCGTCAGGACCTGCCTCACACCAGTCAAAGTGCGACTTGAGGCAGATTCGTGTTGATAATAAAAATTCTAACACTTGCCCAGCCGATGGGGCTCAGTGGTTTAACATCAGCCCATGAACCAAGAGGTCACTAGTTTGATTCTGGTTGGTGCACATTCCAGGTTGTGGGCTCTATCCCCAGTAGGGGTGTGCAGGAGGCAGCTGATCAATAATGTTTCTCTCTCATCGATGTTTCTGTCTCTCTGTCCTTCTTCCTTTCTCTTGCTCTAAAAATCAATAAAAATATTTTTAAAGACTTTCCTCTTTTTAAAAAATTCTAACACTTAAGCAAAATACAAAGCAATCTATAATAATAAAAGCATAATATGCTAATTAGACTAGACGTCCTTCTGGACGACCTTCTGGATGAAGCCGGGGCTGTGAGGGCCAAGGCCTGGGTCCCAGGTGCCTGCCGGCGACTGGGGGGAAGCCCGGGACCCAGGTGCCAGAGGGAAGCCAGTGCTGGCAGCGGGGAGGGGGGGGCGGGGGGGGGGGGGGAAGGGCTACTCTTGCATGAATTTCCTGCATCAGGCCTCTGGTAAAATATAAAAGGAAACCTAAGAATGTCACAGCTTGGAGGTATTTTACTTTAAGGGTGAATTTGTGTTTAAGAAAGTAGACAGTTGAACAGATTAGGCATTTTGTGAGATTTTAATAGCACATTTATTGTAGAAGTTGAATTTCAAAAGCCATTTTGCCTTTAGCCCTGTAATAGTTTAGGTTCAACCACTGTAGAGTAGAACAATGCAGGAAATAGCCTTTTAATAGATTCTCTTCTCTTCTACCCACCCTCGATTCCAAACGATCGTGTTTAAACCTGAACTTCCCCATCCACAGAATATTTGGGGCCTGGCCAGTGTTGCTTAGTGGTTGAGCATCAACCCATGAACCAAGAGGTCCTAGAATTGAGCCAGTTGGTGCTCGATCCCCAATGGGGGGCATGCAGGAGGCAGCAGATAGATGTTTCTCTCTCATCAATGTTTCTGTCTCTCTACCCCCTCTCTCCCTCTCTCTCTAAAATCAATAAAAACATGTTTTTTAAAAAAGAGAATATTTGGTTTTTAGGATGTTTGTATAAGCAGAGGTTTCACTGCAGTTTGAAGTATAAGTGCCACTTGAGTGTGACAAGGACTGATCACTCAGCATGTTAGAGGGCAGACTTTGAATCTCTACGTTACACAACATAGTCTTTATTCCTATAGAAGTGATTCAGGTAATAATCGATTTGACCCCAGAAATGTAGGAGCAATAAGTCTTCAGAGTTACATAGTAATGTTAATTTAAAAGTCAACGTTTAGTTATATTCAACTTTGAAGAAATATGAGTTATTCTTTTAAACTCATCTTCTTCTTGTTCTAGCGTATAAAGTCTGGCAGAGATGGCCCCGGAGGTTCCCGCAGCAAGAGAGAGGGAAGTGCTGGCAGTGGTAAGTTTTTTCTGTCATCTTGAAGTTGTGGATTATAATGTACATGGGCTTCTGGAAACATTTCAAAACAATCCAAAAATGTCTTTTATCTGTGTGTGTGTGTGTGTGTGTGTGTGGTGTGTGTGTGTTGTATACACAGTTAAACCTCACTTATTCTAATTAATTTTGTAGGCAGTCAGTCTGATATATAAATTAAGTATAAATGTTAGTTATTTTAATTCTTTTTTTAATTGTTTTTTATTGATTTTAGAGAAAGAGAAACATTGATTTGTTGTTCCACTTACTTATGCATTCATTGATTGATATTTTTATGTGTCCTGAGTGGGGATTAAACCTTCAACTTTGGCATATCAGCATGACACTCTAACCAATTGAGCTACCTGGCTAGTGAGCAATTTTAGTTCTTAACCAGAACTGTTTCTGCTAATAGCGTAACAAACAAGTTTGGGTTGGATAAATTATTATAGATGTCCATCCTAATGAGGCTTTACTGTGTGATGTTTAAAATTTACATTTTAAGGAAGTACCATGAGAAGTAAGACAGTCTTATAAAATGCAAACAGTCTCAGGTCTTCAGTCCCACTTTCAGTGTAGAAGCAGTGCCAATTTGGGAACTTGGGGACATGGTTCTTGTTCCAGTCTTGATCATGACAACCATGTGTCTCTGGAGCAACCATGTAAATGCTGTATGATTTAGGTGATTTCTGAAGTTGTTTGCATCTCCAAATTCCTTGACTCTGTAACTGCTCGTGACATTATCTATACTAATAAAAGGGTAATATGCTAATTAGACCAGAAGACCTTCCAGGAGACCTTACAGACATCCTTCCAGACAAAGCCATGGTGGCGGGGATGAGGCAGAGGCGGTTAGGGGTGATCAGGCCAGGAGGGGAGGGCAGTTGGGGGCAATCAGGCCAGTGAGGGGTGGCAGTTGGGGGCGAGTAGGGGGCACTTGGGGGTGAGCAGACCGGCAGATGGGGCAGTTGGGGGCACTCAGGCTGGCAAGGGGGGGCAGTTGGGGTGAGAAGGCCAGCAGGCAGAGTGGTTAGGGGTGATCAGGCAGGCGGGCAGGTGAGCAGTTAGGAGCCAGCAGTCCTGGATTGTGAGAGGGATGTCCGAGGGGTCCCAGATTGGAGAGGGTGCAGGCCAGGCTGAGGGACATCCCCCCACCTCTGTGCACGAATTTTGTGCACCGGGCCACTAGTCCTATCTAATAAAAGAGAAACATGGTAATTGGCGTACATCCGCTACCCTTCCCATTGGCTAATCAGCAAGATATGCAAATTAACTGCCAGCCAAGATGGCGGCTGGCAGCCAGGCAGCTTGAAACTAACATGAGGCTTGCTTGCTTAAGTGACGGAGGACTCCAACGTTCCCCGCCTGCCGCTGCTGGCCTCTGAGCTGGCAGTTTGAAACATAGTTACAAAAATAGAAGCTAAACAAAACCCCAGAAACCAGCTATCAGCTAGCCGGGATCTCAGACCTGGAGTTGATACAGAGTTTCGATTGTAGAACCTAAACAAACCAGATACCTGCTTTCAGGAGTGGAGGCCTAAGAGCTGGAGCCTCAGAGCTAAAGCTGGCTCAGAATAAAAAAAAAAAAAAAGAAAAAAAGGAGCAGTTGGGAGCTTCAGTCCCAGCCTGAAAACAGCTCTCAGCCCCTCACCCAGACTGGCCAGGCACCCCAGTGGGGACCCCCACCCTGAATGGTGTGTGACCAGCTGCAAACAGCCATCATCCCCTCATCCAGGCTGGCCAGGCACCCCAGTGGGGACCCCCACCCTGATCCGGGACACCCTTCAGGGCAAACCAGCCAGCCCCCACCCATGCACCAGGCCTCTATTCTATATAGTGAAAGGGTAATATGCCCCCTAGCACCGGGATCAGCAGAGCCGCAAGGTCTCCCGGCACTGGGATCAGCATGACAGGGGCCAGCGCCCAAACCCCCTGATCGCCCTGCGGCTCTGTGTGTGACAGGGGGCGGCGCCCCAACACCCCCACCCCACGGGCCCTGCTCTGTGTGTGACAGGGTAGAGCCATAACCTCCCCATCGGCCCTGCCTTGAGTGTGACAGTGGCGGCGCCCCAACCCCCTGATTGGCCCTGCTCTTTGGGTGATAGAGGGCAGCGCCCCAACCCTCCCACCCCACGGGCCCTGCTCTGTGTGTGATGGGGTAGAGCCATAACCTCCCCATCAGCCCTGCCCTGAGTGTGACAGTGGCGGCGCCCCAACCCCCTGATTGGCCCTGCTCTGTGCGTGACTAGGTGGTGCCGCAACCTCCCCATCGACCCTGCCTTGAGTGTGACAGGGGGCGGTGCCCCAACCCCCCAATCGGCCCTACCCTGAGCGTGACTGAGGGTGGCATCGCAACCTCCCAATCCGCCCTGCTCTGTGCATGACAGGAGGTGGCGCCCCAACTCCCCAATCGGCCCTGCTCTGAGCCCGACCAGGGGCTGCACCTAGGGATTGGGCCTGCCCTCTGCCACCCGGGAGCAGGCCTAAGCCAGCAGGTCGTTATCTCCCGAGGGGTCCCAGACTGCGAGAGGGCACAGGCTGGGCTGAGGGACCCCCCCTCCCCCCCCGAGTGCACAAATTTTTGTGCACCAGGCCTCTAGTTACTTAATAAGAAGGTTTGTTTGCCAAGTCTTCTCTTTTTCCCATCAACAAAATCTACCTTCTCCCTCTGCTTCAGGGGTAGTTTAAGTTAAACTTAGTAGAAATTTGGTGGTTTTAAATAAACTATTGGAAAAGTAAATGCTAAATGTGACCAATAAATACAGCTCCATTCTCTCACATCCCTACTTAGCAAGGTCATACATAGGTGAACCATTTCATGCATCTGCCCAGCTGCGTATCTGTCTGTGATCTAGGAGTCAGGATAAAGCAAGACGTCACCCTTAGATAGGCATGCCTTTCATTCATTCACAAACGTTTACTGGATGCATTCTCAGTGCCCAACACTGTGCTCAGTGCCAAGGACACAGGGATGAATATGATGGTGGCCCCTGTGCTCAGGAAAATTCTAATCTAGCTGGAAAGACACACAAGGTTCTAGTGATGAGGATGCTGCCACAACAAAAGCACGTGTGTCTTCCAAGATTCAGGACTTGAGACTGGGAACAAAGACTCTTTGTAGAAATCAGAGCTCTGCTTCACCAAGTACATTAGGCATTTACTAGTAGTCATCAGTGCCTCTAGTTCTAGCGAGACAGCCTGACTCTCTAAGGATCAGTCCAGCTCCTCCAACTGACCCACAGAGTCCTGACCAGTTAGCCCTCAGGTCACAGGAGCTGTTGCCCAGAGCCAGCATCCTGGGCGTGCGAAGGGGCTGCCACCTCAAGGAGAAGCTGACTCCTGTCTCGTCAGACTCCTGGTCATGATAGACGCTGATATTGCCATACTGTCCCCCTAGTCCTCAGATATACCTCAGTTTTGTCCCTAACTCAACCCCACTCCTGTTTTACCATATTTCTTTGGCTGTCTGGGGTTGGATTTAGCTGCGTTCTGGATCTAAGAAACAGGCACCTACAATTGTCTTTAAGCCAAAGACAGCAATCCGGGCCCACAGTCCCTATCCAAGCTTTTAGGGCCAAGTATGCTGTGAAATTCAGCATTTTTTAGACTTCAAAAAGTAATAGGGTGTATTAGCTATATAACATCTAATTCCCATCGGAACACCTTATCACCGAATAAAGTATTAATTCAGTGAAGCATGAATATTCACATTTAGGATAGATAGTGGCTAAAAATCGCTTCAGGGCAAGTTAGGTTTTATGTCCAAGGAGTTTACATACTGCCACCTGAACACATAATTTTCAGACCTCTTCATTTGGAATTGTAGATGAGGGATCATGGACCTGTATTACCAAAGGTGTTCTGAATGGCCACAAAGTCAGCAGACCAGGCACTGTGCTTCCGTGAAAGAACCTCTGGAAGGCTGCCAGACCCACTTGCTGCTGCTGGTTCATGCGTGCTCTTAGGAAGCAGGCCATCCTGATATGAGTTCTTTTAAACTTTATTTTGCTAACATTCTGGGACCAGATTCACCATCCTCTAAGTATTCCACACATCCTCTAAAAATTTTGAGTTCAGAGTCAGTCACCAACCAGTCTCTCCCAAAATAGCAGCAGCAGCCTTATGGGAAGTTCTCAGCCTTCCCTGGTAACTCGTGAAATGTCTTCAGTGTTAATCCCTAACATGAGCCTCAGTTAACTCCAATGTCTTCACTTTGAAAATCTGTTTCAGAAACTTCAGGACCTCCTAACAGGATGCCAGGGCAGGCCTAGAACTGTTGAGCAGGTTGGGGCTTAACCAGAGCCCTGAGAAAGTATCCCCAGACCAACTCCAATGTCTGCCTCTCAGAAACATCAGAAAGGTCAAGCTGCACTTCAGGGGCCCCCAAGTTCTAAGTCCTCTGACACAAAGATCTGTGCAGCCTCCCTAGGTGACCTTTACCTAATACTTCTGGAAGCATGCCGTGCCTCAGAACAAAACAGGCCCACACCTCCTCCGCAGTCAGGTCGGGTCGGTGAAGCCATGACTGATGTGTAGGAAAGGTGAGCTGCCTTGTCTGACACCTGTGTGCAGAGAGAGGCATCTGTTAGAGAGAGGCACCTCCTGGTCTTGGCCTCCCCACTGTTGCTTGTTCTTGTTCTTCGTAAATAAGTTTTCCTCTCTCTGATCCAGTCCACTTCAGTCCAGCACAAATAGTCAATTCAAGTGCACAAATAAGTTTTATTCTCACATGAGGTCAGTTTGGAGTAGAAACTGTGGTTTGGAGGCATTTTTACAAGCTGGTTTTCTTGTTCCCAGTTCCTTGGCACAAGTTGAAGGCACTAAACAGTTCCTTCCCAGGGGACTTGCCCACTTTCCCCACCATTTGCCTTTTTGTTCCTTATTTCTTCCCTCATCCTGAAGCTCAAGTTGGAGTACCTCTTTTGATGACAGGAATCATGTTTTCTGCCTACTTTCTCCAGTTCTCAGCACAGGCCTAGGGCAAG